AGAAAAGAGAGATGCGTTCATGGTGTAGTCGGCTATCACGTGTGCTTCACACGCACAAGGTCTCCAGTTCGATCCTGGATGAACGCAATTTTTACCTAAATTTGGTGGCGGATAGATTTTGCACTTGTTATCTGGTACTCAGTATTTTTGCTGTGAAAGCATATCTTCATCGTGAGGAGATATATAAATAAATCTCATGCTCGGGTACCGTTGTCTTGGCTATAAGTGGACCCTTTCTATTTTCGCATCGACCAGTTTTTTGGACGGGTATGAGTGTATTTAAGTACCATGCACACCAGGCGGATACTAATCCAAAGCTATTCTCGCCAAGGCACGAGCAATCACACAAAGAAATCCAATTATAGCCTATCTTTCTGAGTATGTTTTGCACACTACATGCATGCTTTTCTGCAGAAAGCAAAGAAATCTTGGTAATCCTTGGCAAAGGCTGCATGGTATAAAAGGTTGATTCGTATATAATCAGCAACGTGTGCCGTTTCCAACTCTGCGTGTACAACAAATTCCATTTGAAAAATAAAGCATGTCGACTTTCTACACAATTTTCTCACGCGGACATTCGAGAGGGTGGGATATTTTTGAAGACCGTCTGGACCATCATGAGCAAGCGGCAAAGTTCGGACGGCATGCTTATAGGATATGTCCCGAATCACTTGGACTGTCCTTGGAGTTATTGTCCATTGGTGAAGAAGATGCGGTGACTATATCTCCTGAAACAGAAAGCTGTAAGGGCACGCATAGAGTTTGTGCGATAACTGTCAAACGTGCAGCAAAAACAGCAAAAGTGATCGGACTCGGACAAGAATACAGCACCAAGATGAGAAAGAGCAGCAGCACATGGAAATTCGTTGACGCCAACCGAGTCAAGCACAAGTGGTATAATGTCGAAACCAAGAAGCATTGGGGGCTGGAAAATAGCAAAGGAGAAACCATTGCTACCTTTGACAGCAACCTTTTTGAAGGGCAGGAACCAGGATACATAAGGTTTTGTGCCAATGTTGATCATGACACGCGCATGCTGGCGTTCTTGTCGTGGGCTCTGGCTGCCCGATCGCTGTTCAAGCGAGGTATAGCGACCAGCGCATCATCTACGCCAAGCTACGTCCTATATTCGAACGAGGAGTGGGTCAAATACTAGCTGTGCAGCATATTCTAGATTTATTCAGCATTCGCACGCTCTCATGGTTCCAATAGCAAGACATTAAAACAGCACGCATGCACAGGCCAGCTCATCATTCGCCAACACAAAACAACATCTGTGCTTGGACATAGCATGCCGATGTCATTCCCCTTTTTATCGCTGTTCAGTTCCACCATTGGCTATTTATTAGTTCTTTAGTATGCTCACCCCTACGTTCACACTCTTTACCGAGGACACGTTGCAAGATTGGGTGGTCTACGATGGCCACCTCGAAAACTACGCACTTGCCCGGCGCTCAGGTCACCTCGCGTACATGCTGAGTACCCGGCTGTCTATGCTCGCATTAAACTCTGTTCCTCACATTGCTGACGACGACGATGACGACGCTACCATAGCCCCCATTGGAAACGGTCTTTTGTCTGGGCTACGCGGCCCTGGCGGACAAATTAGCGTTATTGCAACCATCGATTATTCAGTATCGCGGAAAACGCTTATCACTGGGCTAGGTAGGATCTACCAGGCACAGCGGCGGAGTAGGCGGAGCGGCTGGAAGTTCACTGACGAGAAAGGTCTGAAGTACAAGTGGGAGGTGGTGCAGCCAATGCGGCACTGGGAACTGTGCAGTGAGCGTGGTGACGTTGTGGCCACGTTCACCAGCACCATGTTTTGGAAACGGGAGCCTGGCTACCTTGCCATCCATTCCGATGTCGATGCAACCATGCAGTCGCTGATTCTGGTGTCGTGGGGGTTGACTGCAAAGACGTTCAGCTGAGGTGGTCAGCTGACTGGATTACCGATCTGATCACCGGTTCGCGGATCAACCATCGCTGGCAGAACTCCCTGCTTTTGCTGACCGTCAGGTTCTTTTAGTTTTCTTGTTGAGCGCTCTATTTCTCAGCAAAGTATATCTCTCGTCCCGTTTTACGATTCCAGCCCAGATAAATTCATACAGCCATGGTTAAGCTTGTCGAGGTCGAGGAGAACGAGTACGAGTCTGACTCGCAGTACACCAC